TGCAAAACAATAACCAAATTTAAAAGATGGAGCAGAAACAAAAAAAGAAATCCCTAAAAACACTTTTGCTAAAATCTGCTGACAAAAGCTTCTGTAAGGATGTATTAACATTTGTGAAAACGAGTGACACTCACTGTTAAGTGTAAAGGACTTTTTTGCACACGTTTTTTATTGTAGCTTTTCTCATCATTTTAGTTAAAACCAAGCCCCCGTAATACTGGTATGAAACTGGAGCCAACACGGAAGTGAAATGAATTGCAGTTCCACCCTCATCCACTAGGGGCTGGTGTCAGAAGCGAGCAAATCCTCATTGACTCCCATGTTTAAAATACCAATTTCACAGCAGAAATAAACATGTTTACAGCCTGGTACCAGAACATGTTTTTGGTTTAAATGATCTAGTTTACACTCATGACAACTCTGAGGGGGGTGAATGTTTTTCCTCACTCTTCTGTTTAAGTGTATTAAAGCCTAAAATTCTGTATAATTAATGAGCATCAGACCCACGTGACCGCAGAGCTAGCTCCGTGGAAAGGCCTCAGCCTCGCCTGAAAACTGTTCGGCGATTTTCAGTCTCTCAACTTAGACCATTAGTTGTAGCGTTTGTGTATTCTTTTTTGGATATTATTTGTGCAATTGTTGGACAAAATGACTTGCTGTGGCATTAATTGCACTAATAGAGCGTCCAAGGAGTCTCCACTTCATTTTTTTCGGTAAGTAAAATAATATTTATGTATTTTAGGTCACTGCCGAGCTGAGCTTAGATTTTAACATGTACTGTTTAACCATGAAATTTAAAAGTAATAGTGTAAAACCCAGTGCATTTAACATAATGCTGCACTTTAGAAAATGGGTTGAAATAAAACATGTTGGTGGAGCTGGGTTCCGACTATCGGCTTGTGGAGCTCTTCTCCCCTCCTCGCAGCTCGGGGCATCTCTGATCGCCGCAGTGCCTGTCTGCTGCGCGGGCTACTGGCTTGTGGAGCTCTCGGATGGAAACTGACGTTTTCCACCCGGTTCTCCCCAGCGGCAGCTCTGCGCATCTCTGATTGCAGTGGCGCTTGTCTGCTGCACGGCTGCCAGCTTGCGGAGCTCTCGGGAGACCTCTGTGTTCCACCCAGTTTTACCCAGCGGTCAGCCCGGCGTTTCTCTGACTCAGAAGCTCTGGTGTTGTGCACAGTTAACTCCGGTTGTAGCTAGGTTGCTACCTCCGTTAGCTTAGCTCCCACTTCCACGTTAGCTTTGGGTTAGCTTGTAGCTACATCGCTTCAGTTCGACAGGTGTGGTCATTTGATCCCAGCCTTACAGCCCCACCCTCAGCTCCACCTCTCTTCCCTTTTTTGGAATTGTCTGGGCTTGACGGAACCTGTGACACGGTCAAAATGGCGGTGGTGGCCACCTCCCATTTTGGCTTAAAAACTTATTATTGGAACCTATGGAAACGAATTGTCCAGTATATATGTCGATGGTTAAAACCTCTATTAGGATGAATGAAGACATCCATAAACTAAATGAAATATCAGGTGACTAAATTAGCAGGACACCACGGTGTTCAGAACATTCCTTGTAGAAAAAAGCCGTAGATAATCGTTTCTGGGTGCATTTTCTTCACCAGTCAGCTGAGAAGCAAACAAACATTTGTTCAGTGTACGACAAGCCCAGACTGTTTAGGATCTACTTCCTTTTGAATAAAGGTAGAACCAATTAAGAAATGTTAAGATAGGATCAAGTTCCCCCAAAGGTTTGTGACGGTTAATCCTTCATCAGGGATGCAGAGAAAATAATCAGGACAAATGAACGGGTGAGTCATAAGTGGAAAATGCAGACTCACCTTCTGCACACTTAGCTTGTTTATTATAAAATGTGTGAAGGGTGGTTTCAGATTGACTTTCTGTGTGTCTAATATCATGCAAAAGCTACCAAGATATATTCACTAATAGTGTTATTATTATTATTACTGCCATCATAATTATTACCATTGATATAGTCACCATATCATTACTATTGTTGTCATCGTTTATGACGTAGTTATAATTATTGTCTTGAACATGATTATCTACTGTATATCATCGTCGTTAGTCATTATCATTATTATCATTAATGTTGTGGTTATTAATGTTATTATATCCTTGTTGATATCATCATTATGATCATTACTGTTGTTATCGACATTGTTTATGATGTAGTTATCGTCGTTGTTATTATCAATATCTATACCATTATAATATCTCAACTCAATCTTTATTTATATAGCGCTTTACGGGTACAAAAATAACACCAAAGCACTATACAAGAAGTAAAACATGTAGAAAAACTGAATTTAAAGTCATTAGAAACACAATAATTAAATATATAAAACAGAATAAAGTAAATTAGTACACACTAAAAATAAAAAACTGGTTAAAATTTACAATTCTAATGGCAGAAAGGAAAGGCCAAGTCATATAAAAACAACTTCAGTCTAACTTTAAAAATGCTACGAAAGTGGAAGCCCTCACAGGGAGAGGTAGCTCATTCCACAGCTTTGGCCTGCCTCAGAGAAAGCCCCGTCACCTAATGTCTTTAGGGATGTTCTGGACGGAGAGCAGGAGACGGTTCTCTGAAGGAAGTTCCCGCACCGGGGTATATAGCTGTAATAACATCTACTAATAAGATGGAGCTAACCCATTCAATGATTTAAGAACCAATAAAAGGTTCTTTAAAGAGCAAGTCACCCCCAAATCAACTATTTTGTCTGATAAACTATATAAATGTGTGTCTAATCATGATGCAGACACGTGTAGTCAGTAGTATTGCACTTTAGTGGATTTTAGTTAAAATTTTAATGTTCTGCCTAAAACTGTCAGTGTTGTGCCGTTGTCAGGTAAAAACTCTGCACTGCATTTGAATTTAAATCTGCCATCGCTGTTGGCTAAGAGGTACACAATGATGTTAGATGGTACATTATGATGTCACAATGTCGTGTGTGTGTGTGTATTTGTTAGTGGCTCCACCCTCTCGGTCTGCTAGGCAACAGCATTTGTTACATTTTTCAAACAGGAAGTGGGAGTTAAGAATCTGGTCGTGGGTGACTTGCTCTTTAAACAAATTTGAAAATCAAGGCAGCCAATGTAGTTCAGCCAAGACTGGAGAAACATGATCAAACTTCCTCTTACCCACTGACTCACCCCATATAGGACCGAGTAACAATAATCAATGCAGGTTGTCATACAAACATGAACTACTGCCTCCACATCATGTCGTGTCAGGACACTTATGCCAAACTGTCATGAGCCGGGGTGAGTACTCCCTTCCTCTTAACCATCTGTGAGTCTCTTGCCAGGAGAGGGAGTGGCCCAGCTGTTCCTGATCAGCGGGGTGTTTTCCTATTTAAGGTGGATGGAGGACACAGTTTGACGCCGGAAGATTGCCTCAGCTTGGTAGTAGCCAGCCACTCGAGTTATCTCTAGTATTTCTTGGATTAATGTTATTCGTAGTGTTTTGCTCTTAGTATTTTTGGATGTTGACCTTTCTTGCTTTGCCTGGAACTGATTTGGATTTTTACCCTTCGTCAGGATTTCTGTCGGCCTCTTTAGATACTTACCTCTACTCCAGGATTTGGATTTTCAGCACGCGGACCATATCACCAACCTCCATAACCCACCTCTCATCTCATCCCAGTGCCCCATCCACCAGGACGCCCCGCTTCTCTCCACCTATGCTCCCTCTCCTGCGCTTCCCCCGGCTCTCTACCTCTCCCTCCTCCAGCCAACATCTACACGCCCCACAGTAAGTCCTGCTCTACAAAGGACTTCTGAATCAGAACCTATGCTCACCTGTGTTCTCCCTCCTCCAGACGCCGAGCTGTCGTAGCGGTTCCAACCACAGACTTATCTGTGCATCCTAAGTTCCTTCTTTATAAATAAATCATTTTACCATCCGTTTTTGGTCTGTGTTGCATTCTGCATGTCTTGGGTTAGGTACCTTCCTCCAAACATGACACAAACATTGTAAGTGGTAAAAAGAGGAGGAGACAACAAATAATTGTTGTCGTTATCATTACATCATTGTCAATATCAATACTGATGTCATCATCTTCATCATCGTTTTCGGTATCTATGGCATATTGTCGTCATTCTCACTAGTGTTGACTTCATTATCATCAGTACTGATGTCGCTATCGTTAATGATGTCATCATCATTATTGATTTTGTTATTAATGTCATTATTGTCTTGATTCTCACTGGCTTCATCATCATCATCATTGTTTTCATTATTGTTGTTGTTAACATCATTATCATATTATATCATTGTTGAGATTATCATCATCATCGCCTTCATTATCGTCATTATCTACGTCGTTATTGTCATCATCATTACTGTCAGAGTCATCATTTGCAACATAGTTATCATTAATATTGTCACCATTATCATCGTCGTTGTCATTGAAGTTATTATTATTGTATCATTGTTGATAATATCGTTGTCAATATTGTTGTCGTCATCGTCATCTTTTTCATCATCAATGTCATTGTTATAATTTTCATTGGTTTTATTATCATCATCGTTGTCAATGTCATTATTTTTGTTACCATCCTTAATATATCTATATACATATATATATATATATATATATTAATATATATATATATAATTAATATATGTAATTGTAGAAATCATCATCGTTGCCATTGTCATTTTTGTTGTCATCCTTATTATTATATCATAGAAATGATCATCATTGATAAAGTTGTCGTCATTCAAATTTTTTCTCTTTATTGTCAAAATTAGTATTATGATTATTATAATAAAAACAATAACAATTCTAATCTTCATTATTATCATTTTATTATTATTATTAATATTAATAGTATTAATAATAACAACAATAATAATATAATAATAATATTAATTATTATCATTTAATAATATGTCCATTTCTTTCCGTTTCTGTCACTAGACATCCATCTAAGGTTCCTGGGACCTAATACTCGTCGTTCCTGATGGTCTAACCCCTGAAACCAACGCTTCAGACTGACAACAACTTAACCGATTAGAGATAAATCGTCTCGGTAGAAACCCCAACAGGCCTCAACTCTGCTGTTGTCCTATTGGCCTGTTCTAAAGAGGAGGGGGAGCCTGACACGGACTTGCTCAGACTTCCTTACAACTCTCCCTGAGTGTAACTCTTCTGTGAAAACAGCTCCTGGCCAAGCTGTTGCATGGTGGCAAACCCACAGCTGATGAGGATCACATGAAACGGAAAACAAAAGCCGAGGCTGAACCAATAATCGGGGTGTGAACGGGACTCGTTATCACAAAGTCTGGCATGGACTATTTGTGACATCAAGGTAACATCTTCATTTCAGATTTAATAATCCTACAACCTCTGAGAGTAGAAATACATCCGCCGTGCACTAGTAAGTTGTAACTGTATTCATTTGTACTCGGTTTTAATTTTAAATTGTAATCATTTATTATAAAAATAATTTGTCATTTTGAGACAAAATCATCTGAAGAAAACACCAATTAAACATTTTGTAGTTATTTTTACGTTTCAAGCACAAGAACCAGTTCACATTTGTGCATATTAATAAAAAAACTGTTTAACAAATAATGAAGTACATAGGGACACTCCTCCAACCTGCATGGAAATAAGAGAATGTAAACAAACGCTTTCCTCCTGAAGGTAGCACATGTGTGGCAGGAAGAAGCTTCTGCTCGTTCTAGAGAACAGAACGTTCCAAGCTGAGCTCCTTGAACCGTGTTCCACTTCCTTTTAGGCTGGAGAACGTTCTCCTAAGTCCTTCTGTGTGGAACATGTAGGGAGGGATGAAGAGGGGAAACCTGCCAGCTCAGAATAAGTTTAAGACTCAAAAACAAGCTTTTAAAACTTACTTTGGTCCTTCTTAAAGCCAGCCAGAAATAGGTTAGCTTTGCTTCATTTCCCATCATCCAGTCACATGCTTGTGTGAGATTACCTCCTGACCTCAGGAGCTCAAATCCCTTTGTTGCTAAGGAACTTAGAAATGTTTGGAATGTTAAATAAAAGACTAGAATTGTGTTCATTATAAACATAGTTTTGTCCACTTTTTCTTGATTCAGCATTGAAACTGAATTTTGCATCCTGAAGGGATGTTTTCTAGTTTATGTCGAGTTTAGAGGAAAGAGAAAAAACTCCTGGTCTGAGGGCAACGATGGAAAAGCTGGTGAAACTTAAACTTTTTTACATTTTCTTATCACATTTTTGCTTTCCTATAATAAATATTAAAAAGAGCAAATAATAGATGAATAGAACTTCTTGTTGGTTTGGTCTCTAGCTCTAATAAAGGAGATAAGAGTCAGTTTCATCCATGTAGAGACCCTGTAACTTCATGCATTCTGCCATTTAATTGAAATTATTTTTAACAGTTTTTATAAATAATTATACGGTTTACATGAATCTGTATTTCTTTCTTTTAAAGGAGCAATATGTAGTAATTCTACAGTGAAATAATCACAGTGTAATGTCTCAATCATGTTGAAAGCAAGGTTACACTGAAACAGACTTGAGGGGGCAGTCTGGACGTTTTCTTTATTTACTCTCAGAGAGTTTGTGAGGTTCCCGTGTCTCCGGCATTTGTAATTCGACACCAGCAGACAAAAAGCCCCAAAGCCAGTAAACAGGAGCGACCCAAAAGTTATTTCTTTTACCCATAAGAAGCCACGGCATCTTTTTGTTTTACTCCGGTTCAAGCAAGCTAGGGGCTAAAGTTGAGCTAACAATGGTAACAGCGAAATGGGAGCGAATTGTCAGCTCTAAAAATATTAAGATATTTTTTCAGCTACCAACGACTGGATATTACAGTGAAATGAGTGTATGAAGTGAATAATAAGCCAATTGTGGCGCGCTTTGGAGTCCTTACTCTGAGAGGCGCTATACTGCGGGTCATTCCTCCCACCTCTAATGCCGGGGGAACAGGCTACTGCCATAATAAGCGTAGTAAGCTCTCTCTACTATAAAACACCCAGAAGTGTTAACGCCAGACATGACAATGTATTTATCAACTTACTGTGTGTGACTCGTCTTTGTAATCTAGAATATTCTGTTGCGGATCCATAACAGGAATCCGTTATGAAACTCACAGAACAGCAGTGAGAAATTGACTGCAGCGACCAAATTTGACCACAGGACTTCATTCTTACATGTTGCACCTTTAAATAAGGAAATGTGACTTTACCAAACATCCTTATGCACCTCTCAGGTGTTTCCCAAACATATTGCCATAGCAGTTGGAGTTCTACGAGAAACAGCTAAAAGTTGTTTTTACTGCTTCTTTTTTAACAATCAAGCTACATATAATCAACTCTGAGCTGAGGGGGGCTTCACAATGAGGGACCGACTGGAGGAACTGCAGAAAAAGTCTCAAGAGTTTTCTGAGATTGCAGCTGATGACCCTGCCCCTTCATCAGAGGACGGTGATGATGAGGAGGAGTCTGGGGGCATCACACCCCAGGCTGTGGTGTTTGAGGAGGAGCCCATCTTTCAGAATTTCCTCTCTGAGGCTCAAAAAGTCCGAGATGACATCTCAGCACTGGAAACAGAGGTGAGACGGCAACATTTAATTACATTTTCACATGAAACAACCAGAGGTTGAGAGGTTTGATGTCTACAACTGCTGCATTAAGTTGGTTGCATTTAAAGTTTTATTGTTTTACTTGCAGCCACAGTTGATTCCAAGCCAACTGTTTATTTAATCCCAACTACAAACAGGTCCTTAACATCACTCAGCATCAGAAGACGCTGGTGGCAGCCATGCGACGATTCAGTGCGATGAAGAAAGAAAGCAGCATCACACGGGACATCAAGCTGCAGGCGGAAAGCCTCCATCGGCGTTTAGATCGTCTTTTAAAATGGGTCCAAAGGACCGAGGAGCAGCTGGGACCGACTGCTGCTGCAGCGAGGATACAACGCTCACAGCACGCAGGGCTGCACAGATACTTCCAGCAGGTTGGGCAGAACTCCCACTCTGCTTTTGATTCTTGAAACAACTCTTTTGCTTTAGGTTTTATTTCCTTTCTCTTCTTAGACTCGATGCACTTGAAAAATCTGAAGAGTTTTAGTGAAAACAAAAGTAGAAAGGGAATAAAATATGTTTTATTTTTTGCATTATAAGCTTTATTTGAGTATCAGATAAAACATAGTTATAGCCAGCATCCATTTACCTGCATTTGATGTCTTTTTCCACCTACAGACCTACAGTAAATGCAAAGTATGAGGAGGAGCAAGAGACCAAACATAAATTTTGTTTATGAAAAAAGACACACAAAGATGGGAGTAAAACACCCTCTCATTCCCCCCCCCCCCCCCCCCCCCTCACTCCTTTCCCATTTTCTATTTTGCTATAATTACTTCCAGGTGATGCGTCAGTATAATGAGGGCCTGCTGACCAAGCAGGAGCGGTGTAAGCACTTCATTATCCGGCAGCTGGAGGTGTTGGAGAAAAACGTTACAGAGGAGGAGGTGAATGAGATGGTAGCCACGGGAAAATGGGAGATGTTCAACGAGAACCTGCTAAATGATGCCAGAATCACACGATCACAACTGTCAGAGATTGAACAGCGGCACAAGGTGAGAGTGACTGACCCCAAAGGACACTTTAATGTAAAATAATTGGCATCTAGCCTTTTATGACTCTTCTTCTTAAAGACCAAGTTCACTTGTTTTTCCAACACGTCTGCAGTGGTCTCTAGAATAGATGAATGCCTTGTGAGTCGATCTCTGTGGGGAAAATGCTCTTGTGCTCCTGTTTCAGGAGCTAGAAGTTAGCCCAGGGGAGAGGTGAGCAGAAAACAGAACGTCTTATTTCCTGATATTCTTGCCTCTGAATGGCTAACAGCAACACAACTCTACCACTGACTCTGTTTGCTCTGCAATGTTGATGTTTTATCTCCGCAAATTACACAAGCCTGGAGGAGTTCTGTTATGTGGTGGAGCTGCTATTGCTAACGTTAGCTTCTACTAGCCAAGACGTTCTCTGCTGTTTTCTGGATGCTAAACCAATAACATAAACCAGTCAAGATGGGCAGTAGCGGTTTTAGGCATGGGCAGACCGGGCGGCTGCCCGGGGCGGCATTTTTTCATGACACAATTGGGGGCGCACAATCGCCAAGTAAAAATAAATAAATAAGAAGAAACCTGAGCCGCAACATGGTTTTCCATCTCTCAGATATCACTGTGTCTGGGTTGGAACCAGCATGTTGGCACCATCGACATACATATATGGACAATGGGTTTCCATAGACTCCAATAACACGTTTTTGTGCTAAAATAGGAGGTGGCCACCACCGCCATTTTGACCGTGTCACAGGTTCCGTCAAGCCCAGACAATTCCACAAAAGGGAAGAGAGGTGGAGCTGAGGGTGGGGCTGTAAGGCTGGGATCAAATGACGACACCCGGTCGAACTAGCTACAAGCTAACCTGAAGCTAACCCAAAGCTAATGCGGAGGTGGGAGCTAAGCTAACGGAGGTAGCAACCTAGCTACAACCGGAGTTAACTGTGCACAACACCAGAGCTTCTGAGTCAGAGATACGCCGGGCTGACCGCTGGGTAAAACTGGGTGGAACACAGAGGTCTCCGAGAGCTCCACAAGCCATCATCCCGCGCAGCAGACAGAAGCAGTGATCAGACAGAGATGCACCGAGCTGACCGCTGGGTAAAACCGGGTGGAACACAGAGGTCTCCGAGACCTCCACAAGCCGGCAGCCGCACAGCAGACAAACGCTGCGGCGATCTGAGAAGCGCAGAGCTGCTGCTGGGGAGAACCGGGTGGAAAGGTTTCCATCCCAGAGCTCCACAAGCCGACAGCCCGTGCAGCAGACAGAAGCAGCGATCAGACAGAGATGCGCCGAGCTGCGGGGAGGGGAGAACCGGGTGGAAAACATTGGTCTCCAGAGAGCTCCACAAGCCGATAGTGGGAACCCAGCTCCACCAACATGTTATGTTTCAACCCATTTTCTAAAGTGCAGCATCATGTTAAATGCACTGGGTTTTACCCTATTACATTTAAATTTCATGGTTAAACAGTACATGTTAAAATCTAAGCTCAGCTCGGCAGTGACCTAAAATACATAAATATAATTTTACTTACCGAAAACAATGAAGTGGAGACTCCTTGGACGCTCTATTAGTGCAATTAATGCCACAGCAAGTCATTTTGTCCAACAAATGCACAAATAATATCCAAACAAGAATACACAAACACAGAGACTCAAAATCCCAGAGCAGTGTCCAGGCCAGACCGAGGCTCTACTGAGGCCTTTCCACGGAGCTAGCTCTGTGGTCACGTGGGTCTGATGCTCATTAATTATACAGAATTTTAGGCTTTTAATCCACTTAAACAGAAGAGTGAGAAAAACATTCACCCCCTTCAGAGTTGTCATGAGTGTAAACTAGATCATTTAAACCAAAAACATGTTTTGGTACCAGGCTGTCAACATGTTTATTTCTGCTGTGAAATTGGTATTTTTAACATGGGAGTCAATGAGGATTTGCTCGCTTCTGACACCAGCCCCTAGTGGATGAGGGTGGAACTGCAATTTTGGTACTTTCGGGTTGTGACCAATTTTTGAGCCGCATTGTGGGGGCTTGGTTGGCACCCCCTAAAGGCGCTCCTGCACAAGAGAATAGGGCGGGGCGCGGGGGAATTCACCTCATGGTCTCTCCCAAATGAAACAGATGGTGGTGGAGAGTCTAAATCAACTGTATTAGATGACTGATGTTCTTCCATATAACGCAATTTAATTCATAATATTATAAATACAGGCTTATAATTCCTTCACATTTTTCTGAATTATATGAAATGGCCCAAAAAAACAAAAAAAAAGAGGAAAAATAAAACGATTTTGTCTTCACCCACCAAGGTCAATTGGTTTAGTCTTGACTCGTGGTTATTGCTATTGACAACTGGAAACCTGTTTAGAGTTGAGTGCCAAGCGAGATGGACAGAAAAAGGCCAAAACCACCAGGTGCCCAATTCAGGAAAAGAAGAAGAGGAAAAACGGGCTAAAGATAAAGGTAGCACGTTCTCATGATAGGATGCACGTTTTTATTTTTTTAAGCCGGTTAACTGGGGATTTTGACGGTTACATTTGGTCAACTAATCGCTAACAGAGCAAATAGCGCTGAAAGTTTGAAACGAATGGTTCGAATTAATTCCTTGAATCCTTTTTTAATGATTCAAGCACGAGGATTGGTTAACTGCGCACTGCAGCCTGTGGCCTGCCTCCTGAACAACAAAAACACGTTGATCAAGATTCATGTTCACATAATAATGAATAAACTCTACAAGCAGAAAAAAATGTCCCAGTCCTCACTAACTTTCCTGTTATTAGCATTTCCAGTACTACTGAAGATGTTAATGAAATACATTACTGGTCTACTGATCATAGCATGCCAGCAAACTCATGCAGTCTCCAAACATGCATGTGGACCTAGCTGTGAGCCTTTTGAAGACGACACCAAGGTCTCCAGAGCTACAGGGCAAGTGGCTTTGTGACAGCACAGATGGCAGCCAAAGAAATGTGTGAAAAAATTAATGTGGAGGCTGTTTTGAAACCAAAAAGGTTGAGGTCCACAAACTGCCACTTTTCATATGAATCCCATGATGAGCCTTTCAGTGATGCCCTTATAAAGTCAAGGGATGTCTCGCCCAGGGAGCAATTCCAAGTAGAACCGCCAGTCAAGATGGGTGAGTCCATGAATGTTAATTTGCAGTGTGAAGTAGATCTGTCAGGCTTTTCTAATCCAAGCCTTTCCCGGTCTGTTTTCTACCAGCGGCTAACGCAGGCAATAGGTGTAGGAGACTATTTTCATGTTCAGCCTGCATGAAAATCTCAGGGTGACGGATCATATTTAAAAAAATAACAAGTAAAAACTGTTTACCAGTGAACCTTGTCTTTAAAGAGCAAGTCACCCCCTACCAGTGTTACAAAGTGACATCATAATCTACCATCTAACATCACAGTGTACCTCTTAGCCAATAGCGATGGCAGATTTAAATTCAAATGCGGTGCTGAGTTTTTACCTGACTGACAGTTTTAGGCAGAATACTTACATTTTAACTAAGATGCACTAAAGTGCCGAGTTATTGACTACATGTGTCTGCAGCACGATCAGACAGTCATTTATATAGTTTATTAGCAAAAAAAATTTGTTGATTTGGAGTGACTTGCTCTTCTAATAGCCAAACATGTTTATGAAGTCCTTTGCGCTAAACCCTCTCACATAAAGAAAACTTCCAGAAGTTATAGCCCCAACATTTTCAGTAACTTCCAGAATGAGCTGCTTCAGGGCTCTGTCATTTTAAACCAATACTAGAGTTTTTAACACTTTAAGCTGTCGTTTTCAAACTGGTTTCAGTGGTTATTGAGTCCAACTTCATGCAGCCCTCTGCTGACCTGCATTTACCAGTTTTGTGGTTTGGGAAGGAACACTAGAGGGAGTTCTCTACCTGCCTTATGGCTAGCAGTTAGCTTAAGCCAAGAAGCGTTGCTATCCGGGAGGGGCTCACTTGAGAGGTTGTTCTAATTTCCCTATCTGTGAAATCACGAAAGGGGACTTTTTGAAACAGCTTGATTTAGGCACATAATTCCTGAAAGCAAACACACAAAAAATGTGTGGAATTTTCTTCACACTTGGAGTGTTCATAGAGGCGGCCCAGACCCACACGGCAGATCAAAAGGTGAATTTTTGCATCATATGTCCCCTTTCAAATGAACTAATCACCATTTGTAAAACTCAGCTGTTTTATAAGAAAAAGCACGTGAAACTGAAAACTGGATTATTGTCTGTTAGATTATGATCTGTGTCCTCTGTTTCATGACTTTCCTTATATCTGTTCTTTTCTATCTCACCATCTTTTCCCACCAACAGGAGCTGCTGAACCTGGAGAACAGCATGAACGAGCTCAGAGACCTCTTCATGGATATCTTCATGCTGGTAGAGGAACAAGGAGCCAACATCGAGTGCATCCAGACCAACTTCGAGAGGACACAGGACTATGTAGCTGCGACTAATGAGAGGTTCAAGTTGGCTGCCAGGTATAAAAAGAGGAACCCAATCCGCCAGCTGTGCTGCTGCTGCTGTCCTCCGTGGAGATGCTGCCTGTGAAGTTCATTCCAATTTTAGGTTTTATTCCAAAACGTTCACTTATGTGTTCAGAGCTGGTTAAGGTACAGCAGTTTCGCTGTTGAACAGAGACACGGCGGCGAAATGCTCAGCAGAGCACAGAAACAATTAACGGGGGGAGGGCAGGAGTTTCTTTCAGGAGCCGAGGGGAGAGCTATTGGAAGAGACAAGTTAAAGAGGGTTTCTCACCAGCACTGTTGCTTATTGGAGACCTTCACTGTCATCTGGCAGAGGTCACAAACAAGAGGGGCGCCAAGCTGCTGGATCAGCGGAATGGAACGTTTTTCCCGCGGAGCAGGATTTTTACACGGGACCAACACGCCAACGTCTTTCATTCCAAACAGAAAACTAAAATTTTGCTGACTTGTTTTCAGAGACGTCGGGCCGTTCCACTTCACCTCGTTTCTGCTCTACAAGCTGATTAAAGGAGAAGGAGAGCACTTGTTTTACCATTACTCAATATTTCTCATTTGCATTTCAAAGTCAGATCCTTTTCAATGATTTTTCCAATTATTACTATTAATTTATGCAGCTTCACAAAAGCCAGGGACTTGGGCAAAAGAGACTTGATGAAAAAGAGTCATAAAACATTCTGCAAGTCAAACTAAACGCTGATAGATATCACCGTTCAATTCTACTTTACATTTTTATATATTCAGTTCTGTATAGATTTGTTCTGATGAGGGGAAACAAAGTGCAACATTAATTTATTTTACATTTATTTAAGTCAGAACTAACAGAACTATTCCTTTTAGGGATGGGTTTAGTTTCTGATATTAATTTATTATCCTGCTGAAGCAAAAGCAGAATAAACACCTATTGGACTCACGGGTGATCTCACTCTCAGGTGAACCAGTTCACAGTAAACTCACCTCTAATCAGCGGTGATGTGTCCGTGGCTAAGAACAGGTGGTGCTGGAGCCAAACTGGAAATTCTGGTCCGTTCCCTTTTCCAGGATAGCAGCCAGCAAAGGAAAACCTGTCAGGAACCATGTAAACACACTTAGCTAGAACCGTGGACAGAAATATGAAAATAAAGCACATTATTAAATGAATGCAGCTTTAGAGAAATGCTCAGAATTAAACGTTGAAACATTACGGTAAATATCTCACTGGGACCAAAGAAACAGGAAATAAAAGAAATCCAGGGCTCTCTTTGCCCAGATTGATGTGTTTTCTCTTTTTCGTGCCCAGTGAACACCTGGGAGGGGACGTGTGACACACAAACTTGAATGAAAGTTGTTTTATGAATCCATTTTTCTGTTCGTCTACAGATTCATTAAGAATTGGACCTAAAACTAAAACATGAATACATCATGTCTGCATGTTTTCATGTGAGCCCTGTGGACATCTCTTCTGGGGTTGGGATGATAAATGTGGTGCCGCCGCAAACTGCAGGTTCCTGAACAGCAACAACGCCCCCCAGTGGTCTCTTACATAATTACCTTTAAAACAGAAACTGTCTTTTTTTTTTATGTTGGTTTTTAAACGTACTGTCTCTAAAGGCTCAGGCGCAGTGACATCATCATCGACTGTTCGGATGTTAGTCTGTTATTTCTGTCAGTGTATCTTCATTTTAATCATTTAGAATCAGCTACTTTAAACTATCTAAATGCATCGTTCTTGTTCATTTCTGTATCATTACCACACAGAAAATCCTGAAGAACAGGACCGTGGTCTCTTCCTGCTCTAGAACCTTCCTGGTCAAAGGAGATCTGTCTCCACCACTCGTGTTTTTGGCTTTCCTTCTATTGGAAAAGTCACGCAACCTTTAGTGTTGTGTGTACTTGTTAAATACACACTACAACAACCACAGGTCATGTCTCCATTTCCTCAGAGACACCAACAGCCATGTCTGGTTAGATAATGAGAACATCAAAAAAGAACCAAAGTGCCGTACACATGTCTTACATCTTACTCATCATAAATGCAAACAAGTTTCCCCAAAAAGCAAAAAAATAAATAAATCTAAATAATCCTCAGTGATAAAACACCAACGGTGCAAGCTGACATAACTTTATTGTCTGACTCATCTGAATCTAAATTCAGCCATAGACGCGTCGTCAGGGTGAGAGAAGCAGCAGACATTTGGCAGCTAAAAGCTGGAAGATAAATTCATGATGAATTATTGGGTTTAGTCATGGTTTTGTTGTTTAAGATTATGAGAAAAAACAGACTTATGGTTATTGCAGGTTTATCAAACTAAACCGTGTTCCTCCCTCACTGAGGCTTTTAACCCTCCCACTGTCTTTATGGGTGACCCCGCGAGGGAAGTTGACCATTGAGCAGGATTGATGGTTTATCCCATGAGGTCCACGTGGCAGGGGTGAGGGGGTGCTCTCTCAAAAATGGAAAACCTTCGCGGAACTCAGCTGAAGAAACAAACAACGGAAAAAAATTGATCAAATGCGGCAACATTTCTCTAAAATTTTTCTGAATCTTTATATTTGCATTCAATAAAATTCGTAAAGTACAACACACCACTGGTAAATGTGGGGTCTCAGCTTTCCGAATCTGTTTGAATGACACGGATTGCACAAACACTCTAAGAGTTACGGTAATTTAAATATAGAAGAAATGTTGCGGTGGCACCGACGCATCGGCAGTAAGAGGGCATCAACTTTTAGGGTCTTTAAAGCTAAAACTTCTCCAGAGGAATTTGTCATCTTCCATATTTCTAAAAACAGGTCTGTTGGACAAAAATTCAATAAATTCACTTGACTTTTTTTTTTTTACTGTGTAATAAGAATCAGACCTTTCTCATGATATCGGCAACACATAAACACTTTACACACAATCTCGATTACCATCTTTATTTACTCTCTGATCTCTACTCAATTCAGCCAAATCCACAGATGCTCCATCTCCTCATGGCTTGTTCATAAACTGAGTTTTTCCCCCCAATCCTCCAAATGGTGTTATGATAGTGACTCAGGAATTATGTGAGAAAATGTGGGAACACTTGCAAAAGCTGTGTTGTACGCTCACAATCACAAAACAGCTGCAGCTGTGAACCGAACCTACAATCATCCTGTCAATCAAATGTGGTGAGAGGAGGGACTCTGCATCGTGCTGGGCTTTAATTAAATCTGAACATCCAAAAACAAATATGTCATCTGATTTCCTTAAGATTGAATAATACACCACTTCCTTAAATACTCAGTTTTAATTTTTGTTTCATTTTGTAAAACCAAATACACAATGAATATTTTAAATGTTATTTAGCATAAAAAGGAGAAAACTAATGGAAACAGAATTAATAATAATGAAAAATAATAAAACACTACTATCTGTATTACTATTGTTTTGATTATTTTGTAACTAAATAATACATGATGATGAAAATTTTAAGTTATTTTACAAAAATTTGAAAATAAATGAAAATAGAATTTATAATAAAAACATTAAAACACAAATATGTGTGTTGGAATAATACACCATTTATTAAACAAATCAGTATTAATTATTTTTCTACTTTATAGATCTAAATAATCTATGGATAGTTTAAATGTTAGACATAAAAAAGGAGAAAATAAATTAAAATAGTATCTAAAATAATCAAATGTAAAGAAACTATGTGTGTTTGAACAATAAACCACTGCTTTAATGAATCAGTTTTAAACAAAATAATAATGCATGATGAATAGTTTAAATATTATTTTACATAAAATAAGAGATAATAGATGGAAATACAATTTCTAATAATGAAAACTAATGAAGCAATGCATAAAAGTCCCTATAACTGCTACATTACTAAAATAGTTCTGTAAAATCCTTTTAAAATAGTGGAGTAGAAAGTTCCTGTAATGATTGATTTCTGCTAAGTTTTTACCAGCAGAGGGTGCTGATATCCAGTAATGAGAATACCGGCACATCAGTTCCTGCCAGATATGTTCTGATGAGTATTTTTATCAGTGTATGCTGTTAAACATCATTGTTTACCGTCGCATCAATGTGTTTTTGCTCCAATTCAGCAGCATCCTTTTCTCCACATTCTTCTGAGTTGAAATGAAAGGTGAGCAGCGGCAGGGCAAGCCGAGGCATAGCTGACACGAACACGTCAAGACCGAGGAGGATAGGTGAAAATGAACCGACACGGGTGAAGAAAACTTGTCTCAGAGGAGGTTTCCTTGTTTTACTCCTCTGTAGGCTCAGAGCCTTCCGGATGCTTAATCGCTCTGCAATGAGGGGCGTGCGCGCGCACACACACACACACACGCACACACTCATAATGCAGTCACACATCCAGCTCTCCTGTCAATCACTTTGTAACATAAGAACACTTTTGGAGAACTAATATTTGCCAACATCTGCAGGGGAAACTGGCATTAATCTCCACACAAAGCAGGACAAAAATGCACATTAATGTTTTTGCTGCAGATTTTTGACCTTGTGAAAAAGACCAATTAAAGCCCATGAATCTGGTGATGTTTAGATCTGGTTTTGTCTGCACAGGAACTAATACGATTCTGAGTCCAGGCTTTGCGGTACCTCATCATCGAACTCTGCAGAAAGTGATTTGATTTCTCCCTCAGCTTCATAATTTACTCAATCGGATAACTCCGTTGGGATTCAGTCGTGTTTTGTCCCAAGTTGAAAGCAGGAAGTGCATTCAGCACATTTCCTGCCATCATAATCAAAAGTGGAAGGTTGGGTATAGTTGTCCAGCCAGTACAAAGTGCACTGCTGACATTACAATCTATTTATATCAACACACTTTTTCTATGTCTCTTCAGACTGAATTTAGTTCAAATTAGTTTTTTTGTCTGGGGAAACTCATGGAAACATTGTGCCTCATTCTGATGATAAACCGGTTTGAACAAGAACAGAATTACAAATATTCATTACAGAGAATAAAGTAAGACAAACAAACCGCATTTGCCAAATGAAAAATCACAGACAGAGTGCTTTTTATACAAAAATAGAAACAGATAATCTTCCAATCATTAGTGACATTCATCCTAATTTACCAACATCCATAAGGTACCCACCCCCCGTAAATAAGGCAGCATTTAAAAGCATCTGAAACTAAACGAATGAGCTGGAAACCGCTTAAACGCTAACCACTAAGTCCCATTTAAACAACAGCTGATTAATGTGATCTCCTCTGCTTTCACTCCCTCTCTCAATAAAACATGGACTGCAGCTCCAGTGATAAAGTTGAGCAGCCAGCAGTCATAAGTGTCACTGTGTTATGGATTATTCTGGTGTCACCCAGTCCAGCCAGTATGGGGTTAGATTTGTGCCAATAGGATCAAGAAAAACACTTTGGAGAGCAAACAAATTTTAAAGAGCAAGTAACGTCTAAATTAACTTTTTGTTGTTGATGAACTGTATAAATGAGTGTCTAATAGTGTTTTAAATGTGTGTTCATTATTTTAGCATTTTGGTGCATTTTCTTTAAAAATTAAAAATTCTGCCTAAATACCACAGTATAGCTCCACCTTCAGCTTAAAACATAGAATTTGACTCATTTTGAATAAATTTTAGCCAATGGCTAAAGAGTAAGATACTACGTAAACCAGTAGAGTACTACGTAGCAGCTCTGTGTCAAAGTTATAAAAGCAACGAGCGTCTCGGCCACGCCTTGTGGCGAGTTGGGAGTTGGATTTGCAAGCGAGCGTAGGACGGTCAGCGGTAGTTCAGCATTAGCATATAGCATATCCTAGTCTTTAGCGTAGCCTTTAGTGTTATACATACTTATTTAGTGTTAGCTTGGCTGTTGGATAGTGTAGTTTAGTTAGTGTTTGGCTGTTAGTGTTATTAGGAAAGTAGTTCAGGTCTAGTGCTCCATATCGTGTTAGTATGGTGAGAAGGTGTAGTGTAGTATGGTTGCGGTGGCTCTGTGGGGTTGTACTCCTTTCCGCTGGACTTAGAAATTAGACGCCAGTGGTTGCGCGCAATCGGTGTCTGGAAAACATTCAGCTCCCGCCTGGTGCTGTGGTTTGCAACCAGCATTTTACCCGCGATTCTGCACATCTCTGTTTGAAGAGGCTGTGCCCACCGTGGCTCTTCCGCGATTTAGATGCAGCCCACCGACTCTGCTCCCCCACCATGACGGGCTCCAGTCTGAGGTGAGTAAGCTAAATAAAAGTTAACATCTTCTAAAGACAATTTCCTACCTAAATGCAAAGTTTGCGAGACGTGGTTCACTTCCTTTAGCTAATATCAGCCTGCACTGCCTTCGGGCAGATTTGTCAAGTTCACAAAATGTGGAATGGGATGTAAGGTTAGAATCAGCGGCGAATCGGAACATATCTCGAAGCCCTGGCCGACAAAACGGTCCACATGACTGTCAGGCTCAGAGAAAATTCGGGTTGTTTTTGTGTCAGTCGGTAATTCTGCAACAGTGTCTCTAACTGACGCAGCACTAGTTGACAGACAGCATTACAGCGTGAAATCCAGCACAGCGTAACCCGGTTCCGTGAGGAATTCTGTTCAGGAGGTCGCATTTCAGGCTCTCCACATCATATGTGACTGACTTTTACGTTATAATAACATCACATATAAAGTTATAAAGCACCTATATAGGACAGTTTCTTTTGTATATTATCTGACTTTATAAACAACAATGTGCTTCTATTTTTTTTTTCAGGCTAAATCTACCCAAGACACTGGCTGTCAGACTGATTTAGTAATCTGCAAGAATGCACTTGTCCAGGCTGACGTGGTGTTACCCGTAGCAAAGGTGAATTATTTTTAATAATCTTCTATGTAAACATTTTATTACCTTCTGGTTTTAATTTGTTTTACAGATTATTGTTACACATGATTTTATGCTCTTTTAAACATTTATAAATGTGCTGCTTCTTTGTTTTTTATAGAGCTCACAGCCTCAGTGTCTTGTGACACGGGGACCATGACGGAAATTCATCTTCCAGAAAGTCCCAGAGCAGCGTCCACACCCCTGAAAAGACCAAGATGTGAGGTGTCTGCTGTTGATTCCAGCTTCCACCTCAGTGACAGTGCAAGCTCAGTGAACTGTTCAAGGTAAAAAAAATTAAAACATTTCTGAATTTTTAAGATATTAACAATTAAATAAACTTATGTGATTACATCATGACATCATGAAGGAGGCTACTGATTCTGCCCCTGTGACACTTGGTGGTGACGTGTGAGCTGATTCACCTGGTAAATAACTTTTACATGAAATATTTTGTTTTTTCTATCAAAAGTAAATTAACTAATAACCTGCATTATTGCAGGACACTCAGCAAAATATGGACTCTACACCATGAAGCAGGCACACGTTAATACTCTATAAGAGCACATAAGGTGAGCAACACCACAGATTATTGTTATTACTGTACACTGTCCTGGATTTGTTTTCTTTCTGCATCTCATCATTAGCCTGGCTGATCACCTGATAACTCCTGTCACCTAGTTATGACAGCATGAGGATGTCCTCACACACCTGTAACCCATCAGCTCATCTGGCAGAATAGAGAGAGAAGAGACAACACCACATCTCTTGTTCCTGGAAAGCCTTCAGCCTTCCTTCGATGACTGAGAACCTCCATCAGCTCTGTCTCCTGTCTGCCTACAATTATTATAATAAATAGTGTGTTTGAGAAGTTTTTTGTGCTGCCAAATATCTCATTTTGATTCCAGTTTTGATATTTTAATGGATATTTATAAATTACATTATTGAATTATCACATTGCATGTTTAACTAGCTCTCTTGTGATGAATTAAACTAGCACCTCACTGTTAAAAGCTCGTTTTAATTTCAAGCATGTTTAAGTATTTATGGACATGAACAAAAACAGGAAATATATAAATTGAGATTTATTTAATTAATATAACAAATAAGGGGGAATGAGTCATTGAAAGGCACATTCTTCTGGAAGCTCCTGATCCTGACGACACCAGCAGAGACCAGCTGCAGACACCAGAGGATCACCTGCAACCAAGAGCAGCTAGTATCAGTAAATAAATAATGAAATCAGGGCAGTTTTAGTGGGCTGAACACATTACAGAATAATTTTCTCATGGGGTAGTTTCATAACTTTCTATGCAGCAGACTGCAGCTTGAGCCCAGGGCTCCTGGAGAGCTATCCAGCACGTTTCCGTGGTTTTCCTGCTTTAACGGGTTAGATTAGCTGTTAAGCAGCTCAGCTATTTGTTGCTGATTAAAACCAGGTGTGTTGATGCAGATAAATCTCTAAAACATGCTGAATACTAGCTCTCGGGCCGTGGAGCAAAACCCTGCAGCTAATCTGATGCTATGGATAACGGCTACTTACCATTCAGAGCTGGTTCTGTTGGGTCGGTTCCGGTAATTTCAGGCAACTCACAAGCTCAAAACAATAAGGCTCAGATCCACTTGTCTCCTCCAAATAGACTTGGTCCCTTTCTTCTCGAGTGTCTGGGTAAGGAGGGGGAGAAACGTCCTCCACTTCTAATAACTGCTCAGAGTGAAGGGAGCTAGCATCGTCTAGTTAGCCATCGTTTTCGTCACTGCCGCGGCTCGGTCCTCCAGGCAACGCCTACTAATGTTGCATTTTTTAAAATTGATACGTGGGTGGAGTAAGACTCTGAGGGGGGCATTACGACCTCTTTAAGACATTGAGAGAAAGAAACATTCATTTCAAAAGAAAAACTTACGATCTGAATCAGATTCTTAAAATGATCAAGAAAAACACTTTGACGGTCAAACGAAAATTAAGAAATTTCTTAATTGACAGAACAAAAATATTGACTAAAGGAAAAAAAACATGTTTCAAAAGTAAAACTTACTATCTGAATCAACTTATTAAAATGAGTAACAAAGTATGTTTCCTTTTTCTGTTTGCCTCTATGTTTTTGTTATCAGTTTCCTTAGTTTTGTTCTCGCTGCTCACAGCTTTGCTCTCACTACCAGATTTGCACTTACACTTTCTGGCTTTCTCCTTTGCAATCCCTGAGTTTTTAGTTGCAATTCTGACACAACCCTTTCGAGTGGGTGGGACTTCTGAGAAGTCCTCCCCCATAGGACAGTGGTTTCTCTTGAGTGACAGTTCAGTGACCTTGAAGTGATGTAGCCTCCGAGACATTTTTTTTCCCACCTCGGTCAACAACATGAATTTTGAGCCCCAAACACATTATTTCTGCTGTCTGTGGTGTCTACTGAGGATCTAAAGTGAGTATTGATAATATTTTTTATCTTTTCTTGGTTAATCTGTAAGTTAAGCCACTTTTTAAGTTGGTTTTAACCAGACGTTAGCTCACTAGCTAGCTGCTAAGCAAGCCATTGTGCTAGCCTCAGGACAATGGTCTACTGTTCCAGAGAGACGTATTAAAAACTCATCTTAACATATTCATTACTGGTTTCATGGAATTAATTATTGCAGTTTATGTTAATAAGCTTGCTAATCCTTCAGGAACCTGTGGAACATCAGAGACTTTGCAGCTACTGGAGCTAACCTGTGTACTACTAACTTGCTACAGAGGAAGCAGCAGAAAGCTGAGCTAACAGGCTGTTTTGCAGGTAAATACTCTTTTAGTGGAACTGCAGGATTTTTATGGCATAACTCAGAAAGAATCTACACGAGCTACTGTGGGAAGACATTTAAACTACATTTACACACAGATACATGTAATTTTTATTCCATGTTACTTGGACGGGCTAAACAAGTTCATAGTTCTGCCTGCTCCTTTTTCAGTGAAACGAATGGATTATATGATGTAACTCTGACTGAATAATTATCTGACTATGTTTGATAACAAATTTCTTACCAGTATACCGATCTGACATTTGTTTGTCAGAACAGGACAAATCAGATTCAATGTGCTTTCTGACACCCTAAATCAGATCCATCTCTGATGTTTTTATTACTTAAGTTTGTATGAACAGTACATTTGATGCCACTTTTACATCTCTGACGTGAAACAGATGTCACATAAGCACTTGAGGAAGTGGGACACTAAATGTAAACAATGGATAAAACAAAATGATATAGTTTGTGAGGTACTGGTTAGAGATAGTTGGGAAGCACTGATCTAGGTAAAGCACCACAAGCATTTTTATTTTACAAGCTTGTTTGGCATCGAAATAATTACAACCCTCTTCTTTTTCTGTTGCACCTAAAACATACATAAACACACACCAAGTTCTATGTCACAGCTGATGCCTTCATTAAATCTAATAAAATCTATAGTAACTATAGTCAGGTGAATAGTGTCTAGTTTAGCTACATTTAGCTTAGCTGGAGTAATATAGTCTAACTCTGCCTCAACTGGTGACTTTTCTACTTCATTGTCAGCCAGACAAAATGTTGCTGCAGAGAAACGCCCAAGGTACTGACCCCACAATAAAAAATCATAATATCCACATTTATTTCCCACAATCTCAAACGTCACACTAAAATTAAACTTTTAGCTCTGATTTAATTATTTCCTTATTGATATCAGTTTTCCCTTTGTTGTAGGCAATCCTCAGGTGTCAGCAGGAGGAGGTGACTACCTGCATTACGGAGCACCCTGGTTCTGAGCCAGTTGCACCTTTGTGCTGCTCTTTGGGGAGGCGATGCTCAGCAGGTTAAACAACTGTAAAATTGATTTTGTTCGTAGTTTTTGTTTAGATCTCATACATCACCAGTTTTTCTTTCTTACACATGCCTCCATGTGGTCAGGTGGTGTTGGTGTGATCTGGGAGGGCACACTCATGTCGTCCTCTCCTTGTGCCGTCTCCAGGATCCTGATGGGAGTTCTCTGTGCCTATAAAGCAGGGGTATTTACTTCTGGGCCTGGAGGGCCGGTATCCAGCATGTTTTAGTTTTAACTCTGTTTCAACACACCTGATTTCAGTCCGCAGATAATTAACAGGCTTCTGCAGAGCTGCTGCACAGGTAATTCAACCACTGATTCAAGTGTGTTGGAGCAGGGAAACAACTAAAACGTGCTGGATACCAGCCATCCAGGACTAGAATTGCATACCCCTGCTATAAAGCCTTCCTCCCTCCTCTGGACTTTAAACATTAGTATTTTATTACGGTTTACCTGATTTAGTAAATAAATCTCAGTTTATAAATTTCCTGTTTTGGTGCCTGTCCATAAAATCCTGCATTAGACACCGAAAGCTGAATGGATGCCTTTCATTCACTTTGACTTTCAATGTATTTTTAAAGATACACTTGAAATTAATATCAGCTGTTTAACAGAGTGGTGCAAAGTAATTGCTGATGTCATGATTTTTGCAATAACCTGACCTTCATGCAGAGAAACTCAGGAGACAAATGAGCTAAAAACAGTTTATTAAAATGTTTGACAGATGACTGAAGAGGTAACTGCTGGAGATCAGGAACCAGAAGCTTCTGTGAAGAAGAGCAGAGGTTAGTAAGAGGCAACAGGTCAGGTTTTTCTCAGACTGTGCAGGTAGCTTACAGAGACTGAGAAACGCCACAGAGATGGAGCCACAGGTTTTAGTGTTTAAAGATCAGAAGGCCCTGAGGTAAAATTGAGTGTTAGTAATGACTAAAGAATGACTTACAAAAGGAAAAGTTTAGGTACTTACAGTCTGAAATTGTAGTGCAGACGGGAGACAGCAGAATGGTGGAGAAACAACCAGAAGTCTGGGAGAATGACAACATGAGTTGCAAGCGGGTGAGCAGAAGGTAGTGGGTAAGCCGACTGCCAGTATGGTTGTGTGATCAGGAGCTTCAAGGAAAGAATTCCCATAGATCTGCATAGAACATGAGAACGTAAGTTTGAAAAACGGCAGAGTCATGGGCTAGATATGGGTTAAAACACTCTGATGAGTGACCAGCTACCAGCTTTTATTCAAGGATGGGGTCACAGGTGTGTGAGGATGTGCCTGCCCCACGAGAAGAGTTTTCAGGTAAGCCTCTCCATGGTGCTCTGCAATGGTGACTAGCAAGGCTAAGGAAGAGATTAAAGGGAACACAAACCCAGGACTCCGACCCAAACTCCTAATAGCAACACAACGACTCCTCCCACAGGCGGTTGTTCCACGGGAGTACAGTCACACGCAGCTGCCCGAAGTTCAGCATCAGGCAACCTGTAGGCGATGTAATCATACGTGGCTTCTGAGCATGCAAGTTTATGCTAGCTGTACAGCGTACAATAACAATAAAGATTTATATTCTGTTGTGTTGTTCACATTGCAGGTTCTTTTAAAATCTTAACCTGTGCCTGCTTACAGCAGGTCTTTCAGGTCTTTTGAACTAGACACAGAGAGGTTCAGGCACAGGTACTTAGTCAGACTCCTGATATGGTAGAGCATCCACCACCACAGACTCCTGATATGATAGAGCATCCACCACCACAGACTCCTGATATGATAGAGCATCCACCACCACAGACTCCTGATATGGTAGAGCATCCACCACCACAGACTCCTGATATGGTAGAGCATCCACCACCACAGACTCCTGATATGGTAGAGCATCCACCACCACAGACTCCTGATATGATAGAGCATCCACCACCACAGACTCCTGATATGGTAGAGCATCCACCACCACAGACTCCTGATATGATAGAGCATCCACCACCACAGACTCCTGATATTATAGAGCATCCACCACCACAGACTCCTGATATGATAGAGCATCCACCACCACAGACTCCTGATATGATAGAGCATCCACCACCACAGACTCCTGATATAGTAGAGCATCCACCACCGCAGACTCCTAATATGATAGAGCATCCACCACCACAGACTCCTGATATGGTAGAGCATCCACCACCACAGACTCCTGATATGATAGAGCATCCACCACCACAGACTCCTGATAAGGTAGAGCATCCACCACCACTGACTCCTGATATGATAGAGCATCCACCACCACCGACTCCTGATATGATAGAGCATCCACCACCACAGACTCCTGATATGATAGAGCATCCACCACCACAGACTCCTGATATGGTAGATCATCCACCACCACAGACTCTTGATATGGTGGAGCATCCACCAGCACAGACTCGAACAACAGGTCCATATGCTTGTCAACTGGAAACAATGGAAAAAGATTACCATTAGTACAGATATTTATCCATAACCATCACTGTGGGTTTATTATACAGCATATGAACTACATGAGGTGGGATTGGTCTGCAGTAGGGATGTGTATTTTTGACTGAATTTATTGTAGGAATATTCAATAAACAGTCCAAACTGATACTTAACATGAACAACATGAGTTATCTACGGTGGCCCTGAAGTGCAAACCACAAAAACAAATCACTTAATGCAACAACAAATTGAAAAGCGCAAAAACAAATTCACTAAACGCAAAACCAAATTGAAAACCACAAAAACAAAAAACAAACCGGAAAAGGTAGGTACCAGTGCTGCAACAACAGGCATCACTGATTGGATGATGGATCCGTTGGCCTTTTGAACCGGAAGTTGTTCTGCCGAATGTGGTTATGTGAAAGAGCAGTCAGCGGGTGTGTCCAAATCCACAGGCAGGATGCTTACGGGTACGGGTCCTCACCGGTCTAGCAAGGCCGGGTCATTGCCAGACCGCTAAAACCGGAAGTCAGCGGCTCTGAATTCGGACAGTCTAGCCTTCACCTTTACGAGGTATCCGCAGGTACCGTCACAGCCGTGGTGGCAGCTACACGCAAAGGAAAAATGCTAAAGCTAGCGAAAAAGGAGCAGGAATATTAAGGAGCTAGAGCAGCTTCACGTCCATCAGCAGAGTTTGTTCACAACCGTTTTCAGGTAAAGTAACTTTGTTTATTCTAGAAGCTTTCAGGACTTACATGTTAACTTTAGATGGCTTCATGTATGTTTTAAGCTACAGAATGAACTTGTTAAACGTACACAACACATTACTACAGAGTACTATCATGTAGGTAATTATTATAAACCAAATGCATTATAAATGTTGAATGCAGTAGGATGTTTTCTGATGTAAATTGGACCTTAGAACTTATTTAGCATCAAATGGGGGTAAAATGCTTTAAAAACAGGCTTTTAAGTAAAATAGCATTGAAGTGTTTTCAATGTGCATTTGTTTATTCAACTTAAGCTTAATAATGATTAGATCTGTCTTAAAATTGTAAATTCTCTGTAGTTTTCCCTGCTGCTTTTCTTTAAACTGAACAGAACCAGTGTACTGCAGGTTATAGGTTTGTTTTACATTTTTCTATAAAAAACCTTATTTAATCTATTACAGGTCAGCATGCACTGTGCTGCACATCTGCCTCTGTGCTGGTGAAGTTGTGGGTCTGGAGGATGAGCCTGAGGAAGATGTGTGTGGAGGAGGTCAGTGGTGCTCTGTCCTACAGGAGGTACCAGCAGACCACCACTACTGTTAACAGGCAAGTCATCCACAGAGATGTAACAGCCGTCGTCTGAGCCAGCCCAGCAGGCCCTGTAGATGGACGATGGAGTGGACAGTGAGAGGAAGCGTCCCAAAGCTCTCTCTGCAGACCGTCCTGTATGATGTTCCTCTGACCAGAACCGTCCAGCCACGGGTCTGCTCCAGCCCTCCATCCACGCCTGGATCCTCCTGCAGCAGATCCAGCTGCACTGTTAAAGACTTCCTGCTCACTCAGTTTAAATAAATGATCCAGGAAGAGTCACTCAGGTTAATCCTGCTTTAACCGTACATAACTGGTCCATACTGGTTTTGATCTGTAAATAAGTGTAACCTATTATAAATAATCTTGTCTCCTTACCATCTTTTCATTTTCTGTTCATGTAACTTGTTCAAAAACATCTGTAATAATAAAATTGGTGATAAAATCAATGACCAGAAAGAGTTATCAGTTAGTATTTGTTTTAATAAACATGTTCAAATATCAAACAGCTAAATAACATTAACATGATCACAGTAGAAGGCCTCTCTCCCAGGATGACCACCAGGTAAAGCCTCTCCTGACCCTGGACACCTGCAGTCCTACAGAGAAAATCAGACCACAGGTGACAAAAAGGCAATAAACACATTTTTACATTTATCCACATGAGAGGATAAAAATTATATTCTTCACACAAACTTTTTACTTCATTAAAACGTGTCAGCTGTGTAAATCCCTGAATGTAAAACTACTTTTCACAGAAGAACTTCTGTGGCTGTGTGTGTAAACAGCTTCACTCGTCACCTCTAAGCTTAATAAAAACACTTCTTTGCTCCGTTGTCCTTAAAACAAATGACAAGTTTGATTCGCTACACACACACACACACACACACACACACACACACACGGGAATAACTGGGACCCGTGATACAAACTCGTTCTGGCTGATTTTTGCCTAAAATGCAATTTTAAAAACAAATATACAAACGAAAAACGTCTATAAACTGAACTGCTTTAAGCTTTTTAGGGTTCTATGGCTAGTTTTTAACAAACTTACGTTTAAAACTTCGTAGCTCTCCCCATTTTCTCTTCCTGTTGAAAATCCACAGCCGCGCAAAGCATGCTGGGATAGCCTTGTTCTGTGAGGATACAACAGACCCATCCTCGAAATGTGGGCGAAGCGAGGACGAGTTTGAGGACGTGAGAATGAGTATTCTTGGAATTCGGACAGTACTCATCGCTGCGCTGTGACGTCATCGACCTCAAAATGCACTCTTACAAGTATCCTTCCCGTGGATTCGCAAAGTGTGGATCACTGGTAATGTTCATGTTTGTATGGTGTCAGAGCCGTGCCACAACCCGTGCACGCGGATTGGGTCCACATCGCGCGTGTGAATGGGACTCGCGAGTGAAAATATACATGGCGAGAGGTCATTTGTGCACTGAGAGGGAGCAAACTGTGTCTGTGAGCGCACAAGGATGTGCACAAGTGACAAACCTGCGCGCGCGCGGCAGCCTCTCTGCGCGCTCGGTTTCTGACTCTGCTCGCTCGGCTGTGAAGGGGTTTTGGCACTCTGGAGGCGTGGCCTGTGGCAGATCTTCCCTGTCCTCTGATTGGTTAGTTTACCCCGCACTTTACCCTCTACCTATCTATATAAAAAAATCTGAAATTCAGTAGTTGCTGGCATAGCTCAGCTGGGAGAGTGGGTGACTCTCCCCCTGAAGAATCCAGGTTCGAGTCCGGGCAAGGCAAATAGAGTAGGTGCTGTGTTATTTTTTCCTAATTCCTGTGATATTATTTTACAGTTGTGACCGTTCAACTGTCATTAAACGTCCGAATGTTTGCTGGGCAGTGTTTTAAAAAGTGCACATAAGCTAGATGGTTTTAACCATATAAAATTTTATTTTTTGTGATACTGGAAAAATACATACTGAAATAAAACTACTGATTGAAAACTTTATGACTGTGGTTGTACAATATATGACTCACTATTACACTGCAAAGGCCCTTAGAGTGGGGCTTCCAGAGAGAGAGAGAGAGAGAGAGAGAGAGAATTTGTATTCTGTCAAAGTTGTAATATTACTTCAGCCACTCTTGAGAGGAGACTCCAGGTAAAAATAGACTTGTGGGTGTAGGTATGTTCAAGTTTTAAAAGTTCTTGCCTCATTAATGTATTGTTTATTTTTTTCAGCATTTAATTGACAAATTATCCTTTCGAATAATTAATTGATGAGTTACATAATTGTCCATTTAGAATTGTTGAATGGACTGAGTCAAGTTTGGTGCACTTTATATATTTCAAAACATGTTTTCTTTTATTTTAAGTATGCATATAAATAATTTTAATGTTAATTTAATGAAATATTTCTATTTTTTCATTACCTCACCCTTGTTTTGACAAAAACGGGACCTTGCTGGATAATATCATGGAGAAACTATTTGTTCACAGTACTTGGCTCAGTGAGGATCTGTATAGGAGGAGATACTCAGAAATCTGTCTGCAGATTGTTACAACCCAGACTGGAAGTGGCGGGCTGTAATAAGAAAGGAGACCAAACAGAGGAGTAGGGGTTCAACAACTGATTTATTTAACCAAAATAAGGATTTACTAAAGCAAGTT